CCCGCTTCCCAACGCCCATGACGAAATTCTCAGGCTTGATGTCCCGGTGGATCAAATTGCGAGAGTGGATATATTCGATTCTCGATATCTGATGTGCCCGTAAGTAATCAGAAATCACGGAGACTGGCAGCCTGACCAATTGATCGGCGAGTAGTAAAACGGTCTTGAGTCCAAATTTGCGGTCGCATCGGTCGAAGAGCTTTTCAAGCGAGGCGCCCAGGAGATCAAGAACCATCGCATGGTACTCGCCCACGGGACCGAACCATCTGACAAAGGGCACACCCAGCCCGCCTGCCAGGATCTTGTAGACCTTGTACTCATGCTCGAGCTGAAGGTGCTTGGCTTCGACCGGCTCAAGCTTGATGGCGACCTCTTCTCCGGAGACAACGTTTGTTGCGAGGTAGATGGACCCTACGAAATTGAGCGCTTCACAAGGAGAAGAGCCAACGCCACGCACCAAAGGATCCGGCCCCTATTTTTCTCCTGAGTCGGTATTTCCCGGCAACCCGAAGGTCTAGAGATGACCTGTGCAAAGGCGTGCCGGCCATTCGTAGGAGATGTGGATGGACAGGTGTGAAAGAGATTCAGAATGTAAATAGGAACTTTGCCCCGTCTCCAGGATGCCCCTAAAGTCCCAGTTGCGACGATTACGTGCGGCTTGATTGATTGATTTTGGTCTCCTCAGACCAAAACTTGAAAATGAATGTCGGCGGCTCCTTGAAGGCGTTAGACCGGTAACCGATCTGTCTACGGGAATATTACCACCTCATTTCGTTGACTGGCAGGCTCGTCTTCAGCTGGGACAACTCACATACACTGTTCTATGTGGCATCCTCCACATCTTCGCCAAATTCGAAGGCTTTCTTCACCGTCGTCGCCAAACCCCTGCTTGTCAAGGTCTCTCCACCCTCATAATAACCCCCAATTTCGCGCAACCCGCCTTGATCCGCTACTGATCCCCTTTCTCCCGAAGGCACAGCCCCATCAGTTCACTTGGGTGGGGGCCGTGGCGGTGCCCGGCAGAAACTCGCGCTTATGCTTTGTTTCTCGTATATATTTATATTACGGAGGAGCTTAGATATCGGCCAAGTGTGTCTGTAATAAATCTGAGAAAGATGTACAAGAAGGGATATTATTTTGTGTTCAAGAAGGGGACATATTACTGTCGGTCAGTGGGAAGCTGGCCACCTTGGCATTCATGGCCCTTGCCCCACATCCTCACTGAAGATACCAGGCTTTCACTGTACTGAATCGAAGGTAGACATCTTACGAAGGATGTAAGGTGGTTTTCACGAATTTAAACGGAGTATTGGGAGTGCAGTGAATTTTATTTCTGCGGGTTGCCAACAAGTGTAAAATAATAACTAGCTAGCTGGCCACCCCAAATGAAGTGTTGACGGAAAAACCGGCGGGTGTGTTGCTCAAGAATAGTCGAAAATAAGTGTAGGTAGTAGAGCTTGCATACGTGCTATAGGACGGGTATCCAAGATCGGCTCGTCTGGGATCTGGATGGCGGGAATCGATGTACCCAGCTAATCACATGTCGTGTTGAGGACAGGACCTGATGTGGGCCCATACAAGCTACATCCGTACTAAATGGAAGGGATGGGACGTACCCATTCCGCTACTTCGATTCCCACATGCGCACGGCCCCCGCAAAAAATCCGGATTTCCACTTCACCAAAATCGGGTGGTTTGAGGTAATGGACTGTAATGAGATAGGATGCAAACATATAAAATCTAGATAGACATCCTAAAGTAAAGTCTTCCTTAAATTACGTCCCTTGTCAAGTTTCAGACATGTAGTACCCCGCAGATCATGTATAGTATGGAGGTGGCCACCTCGAGCTACTCGGAACGGAAGAGAAGTCTTTGCCAGGAGCCTGGCATTGATGGATGAGGAATAGCGTTGCTTCAGGTGTAACTGAGAATGCCAGTATGTTTTCCGATACCTTTCGATAGCTTTCCCTGGACCCAGGGCAGTTTTCTCACGATAAAATCAAATTGTATACGAACAGAACTCAATGCTGTCAACTGTTAAATGATAAAAACTGATGTTTAACAGCACGGTCTGTCTACTAAAATCATTAAATATGCGGGCTTGTCTTGAGTTCATCTTCACGATCTCAATAAATGGGAGCCGACCATATTATTTGTACATGTTGAGTCGGGATATAGCTGTGCGCTAGATGCGGACAGCCACAGTGTCCCGATTGACCCAAGCTTGGTTCATGCTACCTGGTACTGGCGGATGGCTGAGTTACACCCGTGGGCGTATTAAGTAAGGTTTGATGCCCTAGTTTTATCTGGGCTTCAGTGAATGTTGCTTCTAGACACATTTAATCTGTACGCACCGAGGATCGAACACACGCCAGGATGCGGTTCAGACAGCGGGCCGGTAATATAGCCGGTTACAGCCACTATTTTATCACAAAAAAATCTAATGAAAATTGTACAAAAGACTTCAACACAGCCACTATTTTATCATAACGATCCCGGGGGACTGACTTGTTCAGAGGTCGAAAAATCCTCATATCGATTTCCCAAATGGACGATCACTTATTACATAAGCACTCGTAAATATATGGGCTCTCCAGATGGATTACTGAGAATCAGACTAAAATTGATCGATGGGTAGAGACAAACCTACCCGAACACATATATCAATGCTGGGGGAGCGCTCACGTACCTCGCGACTGCGATGCGCCCGGACCCTCGATCTGCGTTTATACTGGCTTCGAGACGAGGTCGCAAACGGGAGAATATCCGTTGTGCATCTACGAACAGATAAAATGCCCGCAGATATCCTCACAAAATCGATGAGACGTGCCAAAGTCGACACAATGGTTCAGTTGCTGGGTGTCCAGAAATGTAAACAATGTAAACAACCTTGCGGCATACTTGCTAGACTGAGCAACCCGCGCGCCATGTCCCATCTAATTAGTTGAGATATGTGTGCAATTTCTTGACAAACCGATAACTCTCCCAATTTTTGGCACACCCGTCAGAACCGTTCTGACTTTCTTATAAATCTTGCCTTTCATCTAGAGTCCTCTCAACTAGTCTCCCTTATCCCTCAACCGAAGGCGGGGTTAGCGAACTTCGATTACAGTGGTGGTCGGCAACGCTGCCAGAAATCAGTGATGGAAAAAGTGGGATTACCGCATTTGGAATTTGGGCAGTAGTGGTTCGCATCAGAGTTCAAAGAATGACGGAATCCGGCTTACGGTGTAATGTCTCTCCATCCTACAAGCCCACTATCATGTCTAAGACCTAATGTGAGTACCCGGATAATCGCAAAGGGAGGGAAATGTCAGCGATTGGGGGATTTGAGCAATTTGGAAGCCGCAATGCAAAGGAACCAAGAAGCAGTGGATCTGACACCAGCTGATCATCCTGAGATGGAAGGAAGGCTGCAAAGTCTTGCTGCATCTTTTACAGATCGGTACCAGCGATTGGGAGATTTACATGATTTGGAGGCTGCACTTCAGAGGGGCCAGGAAGCAGTAGATCTGACCCCAGCTGATCATCCTGAGAAGGCAGGAAGGCTGCAAAGTCTTGCTGTATCTTTTGCAGATCGGTACCAGCGACTGTGGGTAGTGTTGCCGCGGCTCGGCTTCCGTCGGCTAGCCGCTTCCGAGCCATTCAATTCACGGGACAATTTCCGGCGGCCCATCTGAAAGTGTTGTGACTTTATAGACCCCATTAGTGCCTCTTGCTTTGGGGGTACTCGCTTTGATGCTGAGGTCCCCTGTGCCGCAACGGCTCGGACGGCTAAGCGGCTCCAAGCCAGCCGTAGCCGAGCCGTGGAAACACTAACTGGGGGATTTGAGTAATTTGGAGGCTGCACTACAGTTGCAACAACAAGCAGTGGATCTGACCCCAGCTGACCATCCTGGGAGGGCAGGAAGACTGCAAAGTCTTGCTGCCTCTACCCGGGGGCTTCCGATACTTCACTGGCGTAAAATGAGCAGATGAAGCTTCCGTGTCCTCCTGACCCTGCTGAGCCCATCAGAGTGAGTGCAGTGGTTTACCGTGACCAAGGGATGTCCCTTGAGGTTGACTGAAATTCTCCTGAACTCTCTCTTTCCTATTTCATTTTCGCATTTTTTCGGCTTTTGGGACGGTTCGAAAGTCCCTTGTAGAGTGAAACATGCCGCCTAATTTGGACGACAGAGCTCGGTCCCCAGCCCCACTTTATGGAGACCTTTCAGGCCCATGCATAAAATATATATTCAATGATTTCTCACCCGTAGTGCAACTTTGGTGGTGAGTAAGTGGGACCAGAAAACAGATCAGTACCGCCAATTTATTGAACGGCGTCCTGAACCCGACCCGAGCAGGTCTGGGACACATGCATACATCGCCCAGGAGGTGACCCTACCTTTTGCACAATCTTTCACCTAAAGCCCTGCTCGCTTTTATTGGGAACCTCCCGCCGGCTGGAGCCGAAATCTTGTACAGCGTCTCAAGATTCAGACTCGGATGGGCCAGAAAACCACTAGGGGGAGACGAAATTTTCGATGGTGTGGAATAACTGAGTACATGCGAATTAAGTGCTACGAGTTGGACCTGCATCCGGAATATTATAACTGAAGACTGGTTTACGCATCGAAGCAAAGAAGTCATCGGGTTTGCCATGGGTGCGGCACCGAGGCCGAAGAAAGTGATGATGACGGCATGGATGTAGGGAAGTTCTGGCGATTGGAAGGTATCTGATGTGCCACGGCTTCGCGGGGTAAAGCATATGCAGGGCCAATGCGATCAGCATTGGATGAAGCGGGGTGTTCAACGGCGCTGAGGTTCTCCGCAGGATCGGCCTTGTTGAGGTCAGGTGCAGGCACCACAGCAGCCACTGACAACGTGGCTGCCTCTTCAGACGATGTCAGGGCCCCAAACAGTGGCAAATGAGGGAATTTGGACTGACACCGGAAAAGTGTGACGTGTGACTGTTACATGTACCTCGATCCCACAGGTCACAATTCAAACTCCCTTCAACAGGTTGTGTGGCTGAGTGGTAAAATGTGTGTTTGTTATTTTTGTTTTTGCAAGGTCGTGGGTTCGATTCCAGTAGCGGCTTTTTTTTTGGCACCACGCAGTGGGCCTCGCGGCGAGCACAAGCCCCACGCAGTGGGCCCCCGCGGCGAGCGGCAGCCCCGCGCAGCGGTCGGGGTCTGGGGGGGAAAACCCCAGCCGTCTTCCGGTGTCGGTTCGATCTCCGCAAATGAACCCGGCACAGCATGCCTTATTTCAGTAAATTGGATGGTTTGGAGCCATTTCAAGTCGGATTTTGACAGGATCTGTCTGGGGTGATAGCCAGCGAAATTTCAGTAGGAACTGTGTCCTCGGATTATTATTCAGTGCCTTCGTTGGCTTTCAGGAAGGCCAAGAACTCTTCATTCCAGCCCAAACAGTGGCAAATGAACCCGGCACAGTCCCCACTGTGCAACATCGCGCGAGGATGATATTTCCTACACCAGGGATGTGGATGCATCGGGCGTGGGAGAAATGTCTTTTCCTACCTCTTTCGTCCGAAATGACCCGGGTGAGACGGCAAAAGAACATGCCTGAATCGTGTAATTTACCGAGTATGTATGTGTACAATTACGTGCGTATGAAACAATCGGGAGTTCCGAAAGAATTGATGCGCAGATGTAATCAATCGGCCCTATTGAGCAGCAGCAGCGTGCCGAGCGAGCGACGACGACGACGGGGGAGAGATGTACTGGAGAGAGGTTACGAGTGTGTGCGGGGACCGAAGACACTGCCCTATTGAACAGCAGCAGCGCGCCGAACAGGATTTGTCGCTGTTATTTTGGAGGTTTATCTCCCTGAGAACGCGGGAAAAGATTCGGAAGAGACAGTTCGACGTGAAATTACCCTGGCTATCTCGCCAGCCGCTCAGATTCAAAGCGTCCATTGAATTGAGGCCGCGGCCAAGAGGTCAACGATCTCCTTATCGCGTACACAGATCAACACACGTGCCACCTTCCATATCCGGAGATACCTCCGAAATGGCGTGAACCAAGGGAGCGAAAAATAATCATGTATGGCATAAAAACCCTGAATACAAGCTCAATATGAAGTTAAAGGTCATTCTGAGGCATCTTGGTATAAGTGTAGCTCAGACGGTGGGGGGATAGCCGGAGATATGTCCGAATTTCATCAGGAAAACCGTAGCCGAGATGTACCTATGAGCACTATGAGGCCCTATGCAGCACTACACAGCACTGCATAGTCTTGCATAGTGCCTCATAGGTACATCACAGCCACAGGTTGCTACATAGTACTGCACAGGCATTTTGGTTTTCCTGATGTTAGGGGGGGGGAGGGGTCCGTTCACGTGCTTTGATCTGTGTACGTGATAAGAAGATCGTTGACCTCTTGGCCGCGGCGTTCAATTCTTCGAATGTAATCACTTGAACGGAAGCAGCGCGCAGAACAAAATTTGTCGTTGTTATTTTAGAGGTTTATCTCCCTGAGGACGCGGAAAAAGATTCGGAAGAGACAGTTAGACGTGAAATTACTCTGGCTATCTCGCCAGCCGCTCAGATTTAAAGCGGCCATTTAATTGATTTGGCGTATCTGCCCCTTGGACCCACTGGGCGTCCGATCCGGCGATATTCGGAACGGCCCGAGAACTGGTATTAAAAGTTATTACCCACGTTGCATTTTATAAACCAGAAGGATTACGGCCTCGAGATTCCCTGGCATTTCATGGGAGCGCTGCGAGACCACGGTTTCTTTGGCTCCGACGACCAAAAAGGAAGTCACAAAACCATTGGCACGTGGGGTGGGTCGCTTATGTACGAGTGAGCCCAAGAGACTAGTCTTGTTGTTACAACGGGTGTCCGATCGGGGTGTCCGATCATCGCAGTTTGAATTCGCTCGTGATGCGCCCGTCTCTTGCTGGCGACGCGTTTTCTCCTCTTCCCTCCGTCCTCTTCGGCCACAACTCGACGTATACGCGCCATTGTATTGTATGAATGGTTTCCAGCAGACGCCGCCAGGGAATATTTGCATGAGGTCGTAGGCACGCGGAGAGGTCTACTCATCGACGATCGGTCAAATCGATACGATTTCTTGGTGAAAGGAGCTTGGGGAAGCACGTTGTAATTGGTACAGAAGAGGGCCAAATGGGGAGGAGACGGCGATGTCGGCAAACATGAACAAATGATGTCAAAGGTTGACCGGGAACTTCCTCAGCATCGACTTCCTTCCTATGATGGCCTTCTTTCACTATTTCTTTGAAATGCGAGGATGGAAGGCAATGTGCATTTAGTCTCTCCTAGACAGACGCTTCAACAAGATCGACCTCGTACCTCGGTTTGTTGAAGTCGATCATTCTCCCGATTGATTCGCAAACATGCAAAAACTCCCCTTTTACAGCCTTTTGCGGAACTTAGGGCGCGGCCAGTTTTTTTTTTTTTTGGTAAGTTTTCGGCAGAATGGCTATCCTGACCTCAATTCTGAACGGATTCCCTTGGTGGTAGGCTCATTCTACTCGTGTTGTAAATGCGGAGGGAATGACATCTTACGATTTTTTCTGAGAACCCCGAAATCATTTATTAGGTCAAATTGGGGTGTTTTGAGCTGTCTGAGAGCAGAATATGCCACAAAGTAGCTGTAGTGCTCGGATTGACCTAGAATTTTGATACAGTGCACTTGTGGGTATTTCGGAGGGCAGCAAACACCGGGATAGTGAATGTGACTTGTATTTCAAATTTATTGCTGTTAGGGAAATTCACCCGATATCCTACCTGTTTACATGTATGATAGAGTTGAAATACAAGTCACTTTCACTATCCCGGTGTTTTCTGCCCTCCGGAATACCCATAAGTGCATTGTATCAAAATTCTAGGTCAATCCGAGCACTATAGCTACTTTGTGGCATATTCTGCTCTCAGACAGCTCAAAACACCCCAATCTGACCTAATAAATGATTTCGGGGTTCTCAGAAAAAATCGTAAGATGTCATGCCCTCCGCATTTACAACACGAGTAGAATGAGCTTACCACCAAGGGAATCCGTTGAGAATTGAGGTGAGGATGGCCATTCTGCCGAAAACTTAGTAAAAAAAAAAAAAACCGGCCGTGCCCTAAGTTCCGCAAAAGGCTGTAACTTAGCTTATAGCAAAAGATTTCCACCAGTTCACAAAATTCTGAAGAGACAGATTCTTGCCAGGTGAAACCAACTCAATGAATGAAGCCCCGGATTTATGGCCCAATTTGGCAGGAGCGGTCTTCACTTCGATACAGTGCCTGAAATATTTCTTAGTCCTGGAAAAACAGAGTGAGGACTCTTACAGCCGTTTGCAGAGTTAATGGCACCAGCGATCATTTTGTAAATAAGAGCAAATTTGATCCCTCCCTCTTGTCGCGCTCATATCTTGCTCAAACCTTGACCGATTGACTCGGGAGTAGGCGCGTTTGAACGCGTTTCCAAAGGGCTATCGATCTGTATGCATCCCATCCTCCAAATACATGGTTTATTTTCACTCTAATTCGGCTCTGTCTCGTAACTCTCGTTGCAGGCCCCATCTTGAAACACTCGTTGTGGCTTCAATTCTTGCTCGATTCTGCTCGGAGTAGGTGCGTTAGAAAGCGTTTCTGTACCCCATTCTCACGGTACTAATCTTATGTTGCAGCTCACTCTTTCAACCGACCCATATTCTTGCTCTGGACGCTGTCCTGCCATTTTGCGCGCGCTGTTTTTCGCTCGATTCTTCTTCAATTTCTTTCATCTCGGGTGCGTCAGGATGAAAGTATCCTTCCGAATGCAGCTTACAACGTTCTTTGTTTGCAGCACGTCACCACTCATTATGCCTACGCGATCTTCTGCACGCAAAATTGCTTCGTCTATCTCTACGCTTGCTGCTCGTGATCTTCTTGATGAGTCGGACGACGACTATGAGATGACTCTCATTGACCTGGACCCTCTTGGCGCGACCCCTGACGAGGACGAGTGCGGCGAGAACGACGGGAACGACGGGAACGACGAGGATGATGAGGATGAGGATGAGAACGAAGACAGCGAGGAGGAGGAAAATCTGGAGAGTCTCACGAATCGGCGGGAGGTCAGTGACGATGAAGATGACGACGAGGAAGAGGATGATGAGGACGAGGTCGTTATTGTGCCGTTGAAGCAGAAGCGAGGCAAAGGGAAGAAAAGTAACGAAGAGAAAGCTCCTGGTGCGTCATCCATTTTCCATATGGAACACCCGCCTCATTATAATCCGGAACCTGCAGCCCAGCCCCGTCAAATCGAATACACCACCTCCATTTATACCTCCGAACAGCTCACAAAATCCAAGAGCTCGCGTGGGCCTCCCGAGTCCGATATCTTTTCTTTCATTAGCTCCGAGGCATGGTCTACTGTCAAATCCCGCATCCGCAAGAACATCCGGAGTGCCCTAAATCTCAATGGCTCTGTTGACCTTGACGACTACAGAATCTCATTCACAGTCCCTCGACAGGTCAAAGACCCGATAGTTCTCAATGATTCTACGAAATACGACCAACTCGTCAGTAACGCCCTCAAGATCAAAACACACCCTGCCGCGAAGATTCTTATCGAACCAAAAGCTGTACGTCGTTCAGCATCTAATCTGGATCGATCCTTATCATTCCTCAGGCTGCTAAGACTGCCGAGAAGGAAAACGAAGAGAAGACCGATGGCAAAAAGGGGGCCAAGAAAACGAAGGTTAGCTACTTCAATTCTCATGATTGTATGGCATCCTCACCACAACAAGGTCCCCAATGCTCGTGATATACTTCCCAGGAATGTTGCCCTCAATGACAAGATTGCAGCTATACGAGAGCGATGGAAGTGCCCGACGCAGGGTCGTCAGTGCGGCAGCGAACACTGTTTTGTTCGGCCCGATGAACCGGAGCATTATCCGCTAAGCCACGCTCAGTGCGAGAGCTGGGGAGCAGCGATGGTAGAGCTCTCATCTGTGATCTCGATCTCATAGCGCCTCACGGCTGATTTATATCCATTAGTTGAAGGGCGACGAGTTCGCGACCATCAACAAACCCCCAAACAACGAATTGTTCGATAAGCTTGATCCCCGTGCACTGG